TTTTGTGGATTGTTACGTAGGATACCACCAGGTGTTGATGGATGAAGAAGATGCAGAAAAGACCGCTTTTACCACACCATGGGGCACTTACTGTTATAGAGTCATGCCATTTGGTCTGAAGAATGCCGGGGCAACCTACATGAGGGCCATGACTGCCATTTTTCATGATATGATGCACCAAGAGATAGAGGTGTATGTGGACGATGTAATCATCAAATCCAAAACCCAGGACGACCACGTTCGGGACTTGAGAAAATTCTTTGAGCGGCTGCGCAAATATGATTTGAAACTGAACCCAGCCAAAAGTGCATTTGGAGTACCATCCGGCAAACTCTTGGGATTCATAGTCAGTCGGAGGGACATCGAGTTAGATCCAACAAAGATAAAGTCTATTCGGGATTTGCCTCCTCCAAGAACCAAGAAAGATGTTATGAGTTTTTTGGGAAGATTGAATTACATCAGTCGTTTCATCGCTCAGTTGACCTCCACGTGCGAGCCCATATTTAAGTTGTTAAAGAAAGATGCGGCAATCAAATGGACATTTGAATGTCAAGAAGTTTTTGATAAAATCAAGGAATATCTGTCGAATCCGCCAGTCTTGGTCCCATCTGAGCCAGGGAGGCCTTTATTCTTGTACCTGACCGTCTTGGAAAATTGTTTTGGTTGTGTCCACGGGCAACATGCCGTGACCGGAAAGAAGGAGCAGGCCATTTACTATCTGAGCAAGAAGTTTACTAGTTATGATGCCAAGTACACTTTATTGGAAAGAACTTGTTGTGCTTTGACATGGGTCACTCAGAAACTGAGGCATTATTTGCAAGCTTACACCACCTACCTCATAACCAGGTTGGATCCTTTAAAGTACATATTTCAGAAACCAATGCCCACTGGGAGATTAGCGAAGTGGCAGATCTTGCTCACAGAGTTTGATATAGTCTATGTCACTCGCACGACAATGAAAGCCCAAGCGTTAGCAGATCATTTGGCTGAGAACCCGATTGATGATGAGTACCAACCTTTGAGAACTCATGCTTGGAAAATGTTCTTTGATGGGGCGGTAAACACAAAAGGTGTTGGAATTGAGGCAATTTTGATCTCACCCACTGGTCAGCACTATCCAGCCACAGTTCGGCTTTAGTTCTTTTGTACAAACAACACCACCGAGTATGAAGCTTGCATTATGGGTATAAACATGGAAATCGACCAAAATGTCGAAGAGTTGTTGATTTTGGGAGACTCAGATCTGATTATCCGGCAAGCCCAAGGAGAATGGGAAACCCGAGATGTTAAGCTTATCCTTTACAAAAAGCATGTGGAAGACCTCAGCAAGCGATTCAAGTCAATAGAGTTCAGGTACATTCCTCCTTATCACAACGAATTAGCCGACACACTTGCTACTTTGGCCTCAATGCTGCCATATCCCGGCAATGCTCACATAGATCCCTTGGAAATTCAAATCCGGGAAAGGCATGGTTATTGTAATACAATTGAAGCAACACCAAATACCCAACCATGGTACCATGACATCAAAAAGTTTCTGAAAACTAAAGAATACCCCGAGCAAGCCAGTAGAGACCAAAAGAGAACCATTAGGCGGCATGCGAGTGGTTTCTTTTTGAGTGGGGATGTCTTATACAAGAGAACTCCGGACCTCAATTTGGTAAGATGTGTTGACACAGAAGAGGCTGGAAGAATCATGCATGAGGTACACGCGGGAGTATATGGGCCCCACATGAATGGGTATGTTTTAGCAAAGAAAATCCTTCGAGCGGGTTATTACTGGATGACCATGGAAAAGGACTGTTTT